TAATGAACTCTCTCCGGTCGGTTTGTTCAGAGAATCAGCAGGTGATCGCACACACTCACACACACACACTCACACACACACACACACACACACACACACTCACTCACACACACACAGACACACACACCTGGAATCATTGTATCTCCCAGCATCCTCTCTGAGCCGCAGGGGGGCTGAGGAACAGACCAGAGGAGTTAATTCTGGTCAAACATAAAACCTCCTCAACACACACACATGCACACAGACACACACATACACACACACACACACAGACACACACACACACACACATACACACACACACACACACACACACACACACACACACACACACAGACACACACACAGAGTTATGACATCAGGATGTCTTTAAAAAGATGAATAAACTTTAATCAGGAAAATATTTCAGAGACGAGCAGACGATGATGTCATCATCTGTTTACCCTGTGTGTGTGTGTGTCTGTGTGTGTGTGTGTGTCTGTCTGTGTGTGTCTGTGTGTGTCTGTGTGTGTGTGTGTGTGTGTGTCTGTCTGTGTGTGTGTGTGTGTGTGTGTGTGTGTGTCTGTGTGTGTGTGTGTGTCTGTCTGTGTGTGTCTGTGTGTGTCTGTGTGTGTGTGTGTGTGTCTGTCTGTGTGTGTCTATGTGTGTGTGTGTGTGTGTGTCTGTCTGTGTGTGTGTGTGTGTGTGTGTGTGTGTCTGTCTGTGTGTCTGTGTGTGTCTGTGTGTGTGTGTCTGTGTGAGTGTGTGTGTGTTTGAATAGACTACATTAGACCCCCCCCAGGTCTCTGTTCTGGATCCTCTCAGATTTTCGGACTCTTACGTTCTCTCTGTAGATTTTCTGTTCAATCCGATCTTTTTGTGCGTCGTTCACGTTACAAACGACGGCGTCCGTGAAGTGACCCTCATGAATACAAATATCTCTCTGCGCCTGTTTGTGTCGATCAACGGTGACGTTTGTCTCATATTGATGACGTAAAGGTCGGATAAACCCGACCTGAGCGTCACACTGCAGTCACATCAGATATCTGATTTATATCCACATACAGAAGAGGGTCGGATCAGAACCAATCAGAACTGACCTGTTCACACTGGAATAATCAGTCTGCACCGCTGGTCACTGACGGCGGGGTTACAGGAAGTGCGCCGACAAAAATGGAGGAAGAGGAAACAAGAAAGAAATGGAAGTTCTGTTTGTGTCGACGTTTGTCTCCCAACGACGAGGTTTAAAAAGATCGGACAGAAGTCGTAAATCTTCCTCTGAGCTGAGCTCTGATTGGTCAGGCTCTCGTCCAAAAGGAAAGGAGTTTACAGACGTGTGAGTCACCAACAATCAGAAGGTTCTGAACATGACGTCTGTTTACTAAAGAGACGCCGTCATGGACGCGTCTTTGTGTTGCTATGGCGATGAATGTTTACGTTTGGAATGAGGAGGGGGAAGGGGGCGGGGCTCAGACTCCGGTCTACCTGAGAGGACTTGAACCTGAACTCACCTGGCCCCCCCCCCCCCCCCCCCATTGATCTGATTGATTGATGATGTCACTGATTTAAAGGTACACACACTTTAACCCCGCCCCCCTTCATGTATCTATTTTAAAAACTGCTGACCCCGTCTTCACCCCTGACCTCTGACCTAACACACACACACACACACACACACACACACACACACACACACACACCTGAGTCCTGCAGCCCAGACTGCGGTCTCAGGGGTCAGGGGTCATGAGGCAGACAGGTCAGGACCTACCAGCTGTTTCCGGAGCAGCAGGATGTTCTCCTCCAGGATCTTCTCCTCAGAGCTCAGCTGAGCCTCCCTGCGCCTCCGCCGCTCCTGCTCCTCCTCCTCCTCTTCCTCCTCCTTCACCTCCTCCTCCTGCTCCTTCTCCTCCCCCTCCCAGAGGTCCAGCGCGGTCCGGACCAGGACCTCCTGCCGCTGCCGCAGGAGCTCCAGCTCCCCCAGCCCGGACGCGGCGGCCTCCAGCCGCTCCCGCATCGAGCGCAGCCGCTCTGCCGCGTCCGCGTCCCGCCGCGCGGCACCGGGCTGCAGCATCTCCGCGACGGAGGGTTGCGGGTCTCTGCAGGATCAGGGTCCGCGAGGTCTGCAGGGTCCGGGCAGCATGGTGCGGAGCCGGATCGACTGACCCGGTAGACCTGATCCGGGTCAAACTAACCGGGTCAGACGGTCCGCCTCGAGTCCCTGCAGCTCCGCGGAGCAACCGGTGGTCTAACGGTCCCGGTTCACACAAAGAGTCCAGATTAATCCGGCAGACCGGTCCCGGGTCTGGCGAGGCTCGGGTCCCGATATCTGTCAGCACCCCCCGGGGTCGCGGTGATGATCGGGTCCGGCAGAGAGGGGCTCGGTTCGGCCTGAGTTCGGACCTGCTGCCGCCGCTCCTGAAGCTCCGCACGGACTGTCCTCTTGCAGCTCCGCGAGACCACAAGCCCCGCCCCCTCCACGCTGCCACATACACAGGGCTCCGTGACGTCTGACACAACGAGGACATGAGCTTCCGGAAGTCACCTTCAAAATAAAATGTCTTCATTTCGACTCCTGCAGAGAGAACCGCAGAGTCTGACCTCCATCTGATCCGGACCAAGAATCCGGCCGCCATTTTATTCTGGATCCGGATTTAATCAAGTTGTTGTTGTTTTAATGTTGCTGCCCCCCCTCTCTCAGGTTGGATCTTGATAATCCATCAAACACTGATCTGGTCTAGACCTGATCTCCGTTTCTTTGAAAAGTGTTTTGGGACGACGAATGTTGTGAATTGGCGCTATAGAAATATAATTTGATTGATTGATTGATTGATTGATTTAATCCCAGAGAATCCCAGAGTCTGGTCTAGACCGTCCCTGTTTGGTGGTCTTCAGACTCTAAAACCTTCAAACCTCTTCTTCACTCCCTCCTGGTCTAAAGTGGTCCCTGAAGTCCAGGACTAGAGGTCCAGGTCTTGTTCTGATAAAGTTTGATTTAAATGAGTTAATAAAGTTTTTATTTCTAAACTAACCGGATCAAAATACTTTGACTTTTCTTCTTTTATGTTTTATTATTACATTTATTATTTTTTTACTAAAGCAACAAACCAGAACTTTATTGTGAAGGATGATCCCCTCACTTCCTGTAGGGTCGTGTTGATAAGTGCATACTTGATACCTCAGCCCCTCAGCCCCTCAGCCCCTCCCACTCCACAGTCCGTCTGTCTCCAGGTCCTAAAGTCCTCCAGGTTCCTCTTCTATAAACTCAGACTGTTAAAGACCCTCAGAAATAAACATGATTATTTACAAACAACAACAACAATAACAACAACAACAACAACAACAACAGCAACAACAACAACAACAACAACAACAACAACAACAACAACAACAACAACAACAACACACCAGTGAGTATTGATATAAAAATATTTAAATATGATTTTTAAGAAAAAAATATTTAAATATGTTTATTAATATAAAAACATTAAAACCTGATTATTGATGTCACACACTTTCACACCATCAGACATTTGAACATGTAAAGATAAAGATCGTCTGTAATAATTAGTTTGTTGTTTATAAACTCATCAGCTGATTAGCTCGGCCGTTTTCAACTTCTTTATTGTCTCTGAGTCAAAACAAACAGATTATTCAGGTTTTTAGGTCAAACTGAATTCATGACTGTTGGCTGATTCATTATGTCAGAACTCAGAGTCATCCACATTAAATAAGGGGGAGGGGCTCAGAGGTGCACCCCCAGCAGCTCTCAGGATGATCTGTCTCCTTTTTCAGTTTGTTTCTGATGAAGAGACTTTGACTCTCTCAGGAGTCCACCTGCTGCTGCTGCAGGTGATGTGTTACCATGGAAACACAGGTCAGCGTGTGTGTGTGTGTGCAGGTGTCTTTTTAAAAATAATCCACTTCTGAACGTTTCATGAAAGTCAGTCTCAGATGAACAAAGACAAAGATGGAGGCCTGTTACCATGACGACCCGCCAACGCACTGAAACCTCCCCTTTAATAGAGAGTCTGAGGAAAGATGAAGTTTAGAGCCGAGAGATCGGAGTTAGAGTTCACACACACACACACACACACACACACACACACACACAGACCGTCTACATGTGTGTGTGAGAGAGAGTTAGTGATCAGGAGCTACAAATCTGAACTGTAGGAACATATTCACACACACACAGAGCAGAGAGCTGACATCAGCACACACACACACACACTGTGTTTATATAAGCAGGAAGTAGGATTAGAGAGATACAACCTCTGAACACACACAGTTAGTGGTGTGTGTGTGTGTGTGTGTGTATACATGTATGTGTGTGTATGTGTGTATACATGTGTGTGTATGTGTGTATACGTGTGTGTGTGATGGTGGGGAAGTTTTACTGATTATTAAATTAAATCTTCAGTTACTGACAAACTTGAATGTTTCTGCAGGAACAAAGTCTGAGTCTGAGTCTAAGTCTGGATTCAGAGACCCTCCCTGTCATCACTCACACCTGTTTGAGCTCGACCAATCAGAACCTTGGATCAACAATCCGACAGTTTTCACTGAAAATAACCACAAGATGAAACACACACACACACACACAGACACACACACACACAGACACACACTCTGTTTATTAAAAACAATCACACAGTCACACAGGCTCAGGTCGTCATGACAACACGCTCAGTACCACCTGAGCAGGTATGAGGTCAAAGGTTATAGGAAGTCAAAAAGGACTCCTGTACAGAGGTCAAACACCTGTCTGTATGACATCATCAGGCACTGAGTGACATCACGTCAGCATAAAGTAAACAAAGATGGATGATGGCGGCGTGATGTTGCTGATGGCGGCGGCGGCGTGTTCCTCAGGTTTCACCTCCTTCAGAAACGGTCGCTGACTGAAGAGTCTGAATCTGCTGCTGCTGCACTCAGACACTCCTCCATCACCTCCTCCTGATACTCCTCCTGGTGCTCCTCCTCCTCCTGTGGAGTGATGGACGGCAGGTAAACCTCCATGC